GTAAGTATTTCATACTCAGGATAGATTAGGGAGAACTTAGTGACAGCTTAGCACATACTAAATAAAGCCCATGAACTTTTACCACTGGCCCAAATCTTGAGGTGGCCAGCATAAACATTTTCCCTTTTCTAGAATGGACGGACTTCTGCTAGGGGCTTGCCCAGAGCTGTGGTCCAAACTCTAGATGTTCCAAACTCTAGATATCTCTTTCAATTCCTCTTTCAAAAAATCAGCTCTGGGACTCAGGTCAACCTAGATGACTCAGTATTCTTCCCCTCTGAGGTGCAGGGTTGGAAACAATATGGGTAATATCCAGATATTACTAGCATCTCTGTCTGTGTGCTTTTAGTCTCCTATTTCATCCAATTCCAGCTTTGGGTAGCTAGTGCTGAATTACAAATGTGGTTTTTAAAAAAAGGCTACCACGTATATGTATCTAACTTAAATAGCAATATAAATTTTTCACTTATGATTTCAGTTTTTGTTATATTGTCAAAAGATGCATTATAAACCTAAGCATTTTTGCCACTTTCTAGGGCCATTTTAACTTTTAGCTGGTCAAGTTATGGGTTAGTTTTATCTGATCGAAACACACGTATTGAGTACTTACTATGTTCCAGTTCTAAGTGCTACGCAGCTGAGAAGCAGGGCACTATCAATATTTATATTTTATAAATGACCTACCCAAGACCACCCGGCTGGTAAGTATTAGTTCCAGGACTGGAATTAGGATGATTGCTCCAAAGCCTCTTCATTATTTTAAACTTCATGCTACAGTCCTATATCTTTTCTTATATTATGAAAGGCTGCATCGTAATCAAACAGCCTCTACTTACTCCTTTATTTTCATTTGTATTCTTATCCTGTTCCAAGAAAGCAATTTTATAAACAATACATGAGGTGATAAACACTATTGGCCAAAGTTGCATGTATGAATGGAAATACACATAAATATAAAATTAATTCTCTCCACATCTAAGTCTGGCCAGGACACTGTATCTGTTACTAACCAAGCAATTAATGATTCCCAGGGCAAAGGAAGGTCCATTAACCTCTGTGCCAAGGAAAAGCTAAATAGAGTAAAAATCTGGAGGTACACAAAGTTTTCACCGAGAAATGTACAGATCCACATAGTACAGCAAAAATAAGATGTGCAACCAAATATTTTAGAGAAGCGGCAGCTTGTTCTGACTTGTCTTCATGACCACATCTAAATCCATCATCTCATTCGGTGGGGTGTGTTGGATGTTTGACTGACACTGAATAGAATTAAATAAAAGCAATCTCCCCCAAAGTGCTCTACACCCTTACAAGTTTGGGATCGATTTAATTTTCCATAAAATAAACCCATAATAGTAAAACAACAAAATGCTCATGTTGATATTACTTGTTCTACCCAAGATCAAATTTTGACAGAATCCTTGTCATCTGAAGAGGGAATAAAAAAGTATATCCCCCCAAAATGCAGGGGAAAGTAATATATAGATGTATCAGGTATTAGTCTTTAATAAAATTATGTTATTTCTCTGAATTTTGTGATGACTATGTTGTCAGCTTTTCAAAATGTGTGATCTGTTGTGATTTATCATCTAAAAAATATTCACTTCCATGCCTAATTTTTAAATAGTTTTCTTACAAATATTCAATTTGTATAAGCTTTGAGCCCCCACAAAACTTGGATTTGCCCTTGACCATCACATTATTTTGGAAGAAACCAGAGTAGCTCTCTACGCTTACAGACATGGAAACAAGTCCATGATACATTGCGAAGCATAAAATTCAAAGTTCATAATAATATCAATAGTATAATACCACTTAAGTAAAAAAAAAAAAAAATGTTTTGCAAGTTTGACTCCATAATCTCTATCCGTAGCAAAGTACACTTTTTTTTTTAGCTTTTTAGTTCTAAAAAGCAGCAGAAGGGCATTTTCGACCTTAATTCATGATCGTAGAGAGCAATACAACACTTCAACGACCTCGGTACGCCTATTCCCTCACATTGTAACTTTCCGAAACTGGGCTGTGACCGGAGACCGCCGCCGGGAAGCCGTGGTCACTCGGCGCGCATGCGCAGCCAGGGCCGTGGCCGTTCCGCCGCGGTCGTCATCGGCGGGGTCGTGCGCGTAGTCGGCACGACCTGGAGCGTAACGGCCTTTTGAAAACGTCCTCCGGAGGATGACGGGATGATTCTGCATTGAAAGGCGGACGCACTTCTGTGTACGCCGAAGGGCAAGTTCGCAGCAGCGGGGCGCACACCACACCTCGGGCCGCTGGCCGCCTCGGGCGTCACGGCCTCGTCCACGTGCTTCTCCGCCCCCTGGGGAGCGCCGGGCCCGCGGCCGACGCGGCTGCGCGCTGGCTTCAGGGCTCCCCATGCGTCGTGCAGGGGAGGCGCCCACGTCGTTGGTCCCGCTGCCTGCGCACGAGCCGCGCGGGGAGAGCGCCCTCCTGGGCCCCCGGGGCCGGCGAGCGGAGGCGCAGCCGGACGCCGGAGCCCGAGCGCCCGGCCCGGCCGCCCTTTGGGAAGGGAGACCTTGCGCGGGCACCAAGAGCGATTCTCTCCTGCAGTCGGTGCTCCGCAGTCTCTCCGACTGAAATCAGATTCAACGCGCTGGTAACTCGGCCCTCCGCTGTCGCAGCTTGTGAGAAACACGCCCTTGTCCGCCTGATCCCGAAGTAGCTGTTCACAGAAGGGCTGCCAATCGGAGCATTTCCAATCATTGCCTTTTTTTGCTCCTCGGCGGGTGCACCCAGTGTCTCTCTCTCCGTTGTTTCATTAGCACTTCGAGGGTAGATAGTGCCCACCCTGTTATCAACAAATGTCATCCTTTGCCTTTATTTGGGGATGACACGGTTACGGCATTTGATCAGATTAATCTTAATCCTCTGCGTTTTTAGTATATTACAAGAAGGCAGTAGGCTCTTTGATCTTTAACCTCAAAATTTAAGACGGAAAAACTAGTCAAACTTCAGATTGGTTTAGCTTGTAGTGAGTTACAGCAGCCCTCGCAGGGTACATTTTAAACCACTATTGTTTAATAAATCATTGTCTTACGGGTATCAACACCTATACACTGTTTATTATGAGTTTCATAAATAATAACTAGCAGTTAGGCATTACTTATCAGGTCCTGATCTAAGTATTTGAAACAATTAGCAATTAGGTATAACTTTTCAGGTCCTGATCTAAGTATCTGGAACTCTGTTAATCCTGACAGCAATCCTGAGGTAGGGCGGATGAAACTGGAGGACAGGCAGAAACCCAGGCCGTCTGGCCCCAGAGGCTGTCTTAAAATGGATATTCAATGAAATACTTTTTTTAAAAAAAGATTAGCTTTAAAAAAAATTTAATGTGTATTTTTGAGAGAGAGACAGAGCACGAGCAGGGGAGGGACAGAGAGAGAGGGAGACAGAATCCGAAGCAGGTCCCAGGCTCTGAGCTGTCAGCACAGAGCAGGATATGGAGCTGGAACTCACAAAATCACAAACCCTGTGAGATCATGACCTGAGCGGAAGTTGGACACCTAACCCACTGAGCCACCCAGTCGCCCCAGCAATGAAATACTCTTGAGCAGATTGGCAGATGATGGGTATAATGAACTTGGGGCTTGTGAATATAGAATACCACATTTTCATTAATACCTTACATTATATATAAATAATAAAATCAACCTTTGGAAAATGAACTCTCTATGCTCTTATCTTAACAATAAAAATTACATAACAAGTCACGTCATTTTGCCAAGAAGGTCATGACACTCTATTACTCTTCTTTGACTAATATTCACAGCATTCCTCATGCCAGGAAACTAAATTATACCTATGTGACAACTATGTGACAACTATGAAATAAATTTTGCAGTATAGACTTACTGTAGAATTTTATTACTTTCTTATTTTACTCTCTCCACTGTCATCCTTTTGTATTTTGGGTTGGATTCAACTCCCTTTCTACTAAAATATTTCATAAGTGTCCACTTTTTAGACTTTGGTTGTTATCAGTGTGTACAGGACTCCCCAACTTTCATCCCAAAATAAAGAAGTTTAGTAATTATTATCCTAATTTCTTTAAGTGAAAAAACTGAAGCTCAAACAGGTTAAACACTATACACGAGATCACATACTAAGGCAGATGGGTAGTATAGACTAGAAATCCTATCCTAGGGCTCAACAGACTTCAAATGGCTTCTGTAAATGCCTTGGGTTTATTCTCATATCTTCTCAGAACTAATATATCTCAAAAGCATAGATCTATCATCATAAAAATGTAGTTCAACATCACCTGTGTGCTCTCCGTACAAGAAGAACAGAACTTTATTTTTTTTTTAACTTTTTTTTTTTTTTCAACGTTTATTTATTTTTGGGACAGAGAGAGACAGAGCATGAACAGGGGAGGGGCAGAGAGAGAGGGAGACACAGAATCGGAAACAGGCTCCAGGCTCCGAGCCATCAGCCCAGAGCCCGACGCGGGGCTCGAACTCACGGACCGCGAGATCGTGACCTGGCCGAAGTCGGACGCTCAACCGACTGCGCCACCCAGGCGCCCCAAGAAGAACAGAACTTTAAAGATGTAGATCCTAACATGTTCCTCTGTTTTTTTTATCAATACGGTAATGTTGGTCTTTTCCCCAAAGATACGGAATGCAAATTAGTGGGAGGTAGGGAGTTTGTTGTTATAGAAACTAGAAAGGAAGAATTTATGGTTGCACAGCAAGCCCCTGGTTTAATTTCAACATCTGGTTGTCCACATTACATATAGACAGTAGTGATTCTGTGCCATTTTTATTCAGATCTTTCCTCTCCTAGGATTCTCTATTTGTTATTATTTGAAGCTCTGATCATGGCTCTGAATCTGAATCTGTTCTTTTTTTCACCCCCGCCCCCGCCCCCCCCCCCCAACTCTGTTTGGACACTTCTGTAACTCATTTGCTGGGAAGTCGAGAATCTCTCTTGTAAGTGAGTTTACCGGGTGGGCCAAACTACCATGGCCCAGGGTTGTTAGGAAGTCGATACGTTGCTAAGAAGTCTTGCTAATTTGCTATATAAGCTGAATGGAGTGTCAGAGAATTTTCCTTTCCCCTGATGAACTTAGGAGATGGATGTTTTGACCTGTATCAGTGATTCTATTTGGATCGATTACTTCGAGGTTAGTTTTTTATCCTTGTATGAATGTTGCACCTAATTATCCCTGTAATCGGTTAAACAAATGTCAGCTGTTCGTATTTCAACTCTTCCTGCCAATAACTGCTGGAAGTGATTTAATGCAGCTGGAAAACAACACTGACAATCATTATAGCCTGCAAAGTGTGAAATCATTTCATTGCACTATTGTGGTCTCCTTAGTCTGAGGACTGATCACGTTCTGCCGATGACACTTAAAAAAAAAAAAAGCCGGTTTTATTATAATTAGGGAAATACTGGGAAAAAGGGGGGGAGCCCAGGGGCAGCTCGGTGTTGTTTATCTGGTGAACTCTTCTCAGTCAAGAGCTTGTTTTTACAAGAAGGCTCTTTCAGCGTTGAAGGGAAATCCTGTCATCTGAAAAAGAGGGCTGTGCTTCATTCAAGATTGTTTCCCCCTTCTGATAAAAACACTTGCTGATTACACCCCAGATGCGGCTCCTTTGGGGGAAAACGAAGTAAGAGGAGAAAAACGCTGGGTGGAGCCAAGGCGTCGGCAGCAAGGCTTCCAAACTCCCGGGGCCTCTTCTCTTTTCGCTCGCCTGTGTGGCTCCGGGGTCCGCTTCGAAGGCGCGATGCCCTCGCCGCTTCCCCGGCGCGGTTACCTCCCCGGCGAGTTTTCGCCCCCGGTGGACTCGAGGCCCTGCAGCAGCCCTGCTGAGCTGCCAGGTAGGGCAGGGAAGCTCCTCGGGGGTGGCACTCCTCCCAGGGCCCCGCGGCTACCGCGCCGGCTGGCCTGGTGCTCCATTGACTGGGAGCAGGTGTGCTTCCTGCAGAGGCTGGGAGCTGGCGGGTTTGGCTCGGTGTACAAGGCCACCTACCACGGTGTTCCGGTGGCCATAAAGCAAGTGAACAGGTGCACCAAGAACCGACTGGCGTCCCAGCGCAGCTTCTGGGCCGAGCTCAACATCGCCAGGCTTCGCCACGACAACATCGTGCGGGTGGTGGCCGCCAGCACGCGCACGCCCGCAGGCTTTAACAGCCTGGGCACCATAATCATGGAGTTCGGTGGCGATGTCACCTTACACCAAGTCATATACGGTGCCCCCAGCTGCCCTGAGGAGGACGCGGAGCCTCGCTGCTGTGCCGGAGAGCAATTCAATTTGGGAAAGTGTCTGAAGTATTCCCTAGATGTCGTGAACGGCCTGCTTTTCCTTCACTCGCAAAGCATCGTACACTTGGACCTGAAGCCTGCGAACATTCTGATCAGTGAGCAGGACGTCTGCAAAATCGGCGACTTCGGTTGCTCCGAGAAGCTGGGAGATCTGCCGTGCTGCCGCACTCCCCCTTACCCCCCGGGGGGCACCTACACCCACCGAGCCCCAGAGCTCCTGAAAGGAGAGGCCGTAACGCCCAAAGCTGACATCTATTCCTTTGCCATCACTCTCTGGCAAATGAGTACCAAGGAGGCCCCGTACTCAGGGGAGCGGCAGCACGTGCTCTACGCTGTGGTGGCCTACGATCTTCGCCCGTCTCTGTCAGCAGCTGTCTTCACGGACTCCGTGTCTGGGGAAAGACTGGGGAAGATCATCCGGTGCTGCTGGAGGGGCAGTGCCTTGCAGCGGCCAAGTGCAGAACTCCTCCTGGTCGACCTTAACTCCTTAAGAGCTGAATTTGGCTGACTCTAAACCTGTATCAAGATAGGCTTTGTCCTTGTTTCTGCTCGTTTTTAAAGAAGTGACCATGTAGAAAAAAAAAACATATCTGCGGGATGGGTTTTTAGAAAATAAAGTTATTAAAAACTCCTTTTTTGTCTCCAATACCTTTTCTTTTTTTAACTTATTTTTTGAGAGAGAGATGGGGGGGAGAGGAGTAGGAGGGGTCGAGAAAGAAAGAGGGAGAGGGAGAATCCCAAGCAGGCTCTCCGCGCAGAGCCCGATGCAGGGCTGGAACTCCTGAACCATAAGATCATGACCTGAACCGAAATTAAGAGTCAGACGCTCAACCGACTGAGCCACCCAGGCGCCCCTCAAATACCTCTTCTAAGACACACAGCACAACTACAAATCTAGTAGTTGTCTTAATATTGTTAGTAACCTTATTCCCTTAGAGAATCATACACTTTGCTTTCGCAGCAAGCATGCTTCTTCTTTTTTTTTTTTTTTTTTAACGTTTATTTATTTCTGAGACAGAGAGAGACAGGGCACAAGCGGGGGAGGGGCAGAGAGAGAGGGAGACACAGAATTTGAAGCAGGCTCCAGGCTCTGAGCTGTCAGCACAGAGCCCGACATGGGGCTCGAACTCACAAACCGTGAGATCATGACCTGAGCCGAAGTTGGTCGCTCAACTGACTGAGCCATCCAGGTGCCCCATGCAGGCTTACTTCTGCAGTCCCCTACTCCTGCGTTTATTCAAATCTGTTATTGGTGAAACCGGCTTGTCCAAAGAACTGAATTATAAAATGCCAAAATTTTCTATAAATTCAGATCATATGCTCCGGACCCACCACCTAAATTTAACCTATTAACAGTTTGCTTGCTCCCACACCAAAGCACAGAGCCCAATGCGGCGCTCGAACCCACGAACCGCGAGATCATGACCTGAGGTGAAGTCAGGCACTGAACTGACTGAGCCACCCAGGCGCCCCAGTAGAAAAATACTTCTAAACTGGGTCTCTTTTACCTATTATTTGGACTCAGAAATAGGTGACAAAGCAAAGATTTATGATATGTGAGAAGAAAATGACAACCCCGAGGAAGAGTAAAATTTAACATTTGGTTGGAGGAAAGCAGGCAAGTAAAACCAGAATGCCCCCTTTAGAAATCAAGGCAATGGCTGCCAGGACATGAGACTATGAAGAATGAGGTGACTGAATTTTGTCTTTAGGACCACTCTGACTTCCATTTAGCACAGCAGTTTCTGTGAGTGGTGGAGGGCAAGGCCATTGCAATGGACCAGACAGTTATGGCAAAGACTTGATGTGCTTGGGCTCTTGAGGAAGAAGGCAAGAGCAGAAACCTTCAAAGGGGGTAAGACACACCCGTGTTCGGCTTAGGGGTTTGGTTTAGTTGTCTTAGGATGAAGGAAGTGAGTTGATTTGTGAACGAAGCAAGAAGAGACAAGGATAAATGATGAAGTTTAAAAAGTTGTAAAAGAGGGGCGCCTGGGTGGCGCAGTCGGTTAAGCGTCCGACTTCAGCCAGGTCACGATCTCGCGGTCCGTGAGTTCGAGCCCCGCGTCGGGCTCTGGGCTGATGGCTCAGAGCCTGGAGCCTGTTTCCGATTCTGTGTCTCCCTCTCTCTCTGCCCCTTCCCCGTTCATGCTCTGTCTCTCTCTGTCCCAAAAATAAATAAATGTTGAAAAAAAAAATTTTAAAAAATAAAAAAATAAAAAAAAAATAAAAAGTTGTAAAAGAAATGGAAAGTAGTACTTAGGGAAGGAAACCATAGGTTTAGAGAGAAAGGGTATTTCTCCCCAACGAGCAATACGAGCAAGCAAACGAGGGCGGGACAATTGCCACTGAAGGTGAGTTTTTACGCAGGAAAAGGAGACACTGGGGAGGTTCACATCTGAGGGCTTCTATTTTCTGTTAAGGGTGATTGAGGGTAGGAGGTCTACAAGGAGATCAAGGTTTGGAACTGTTCTTGAGGGAAACAAAAGGGAGCTGTCCACGCCCACGTAAAGTACTGGTTCAGCATGCTATCTCTGTCCATGCAGCTTGGAGCACAGAGCACCCAGATAACCAGCGAACAATTTCCTCCCCTGTTCATTGGAGCCACAGGGGTTCATGTTGGAAAGTTTAAGGTACGAGGGCTCAAAAGCAAAATGAAATCAGTTTGCTCCATCAAGTATGCTAAAATGAGATTCTAATTATGCCGAATATCTCATTAACAGACAGTGAGCTCCTTGAGGATCCCCTATCAAAAACATTAAGGTCCAGCATTCCCTTCCAGAATGAACATGGCCACAGCTTAGACTCAAATACCTTCTCTTCTTCTGGAAACCAAAGTGGGAGGTACCTTGTATACCCCCTAATCGGTGACCCGAGGAGACAAAATGTACAGGCTACAAAGTGTGTGTAGTGACGCCAGATGACTGGACACAGCCTGCAGGAAAAGAGCGCGGGGAGCGGTAGGGGGTAGCTCAGGGGAGGACCTATCGGTGGCCGACCTCAAAGTCTTGGCAAAAACATGGCCTGATGAAGAGGAACGCTCTGTGAAGTGCAAAAGTGGAGGAAAAAATCCTCAGAACAGGGCCAAGATCAAACGGAGCTGAGCTTACAGGAGTTGATAGAGAGCGAAGGCACAGAAAGTACTAAGGGAGGTCTGGCCACGGCCCAGCTCAGAAAGTGGAAGCAAACAGCCCCTTCTGAGCATGAGAGGGTCATTTGGGCGGGGGCCGGGGGTGGTCAGGGAATACAAGACAGGCACAGAAGCCTCCGGAGCCGGGTTTGTTTGGAGAGAGAAAAAGGTGTGGTTGCTTGAAGAAACCCACAGAAATGCCATGCTCGAAGGAGACAAATATGGTCTTTGGGGTGGCAGAGAAAGGAAGTCTTTGAGCTGCGGGAAGACTGCTCTGATGGGAGGTAGAATAAGTATGCGGACGGCTTCACCTGTAATAGCGAACAGTCACAGGAAATTACTTAAAGTAGACACATCAAGTCAGAGGTAAAGGCATATTTAACAGTACAAAGATAAGCATTAAAGATATACTCCTGACATAAATTGAGGCACAGGGGGAGAGAGGAGAAGGATGTAAGCTGTCAACGTTATCACTGTTCATAGAAGTAAACTCATAGATACTGTCTAGGATTAAGGATGTTATATACAAGTATATAATTGAACACAAATACAAAAAAAAACCCCATCTTCAAAATCAGAACTACCAAAACAAAACAAAAAGGTGAAAGAACCAAGCACAGAATGAAAGACAACAACAGAAACTATAGGAACAAACTAATATAAAATGTGAAAATTTAGATTACGCTTATCCGTCATCACCAATAAATGTAAGTGACTTAATTCACCTGTTAAAAGAAAATCTCTATGCTATAAGATATAGTTCTCAAGCAGGGGAGCAGCAGAGAGGGAGGGAGAGAATCCCAAGCAGGCTCTGGGCTATCAGCACAGAGACCGATGCAGGGCTTAATCGTTTTGTTTTTTTTTTTTATTTAAAAAAAATTTTTTAATTGTTTTGTTTATTTTTGAGAGAGAGAGAGACAGAGCACAAGCGGGGAAGGGGCAGAGAGAGAGGGAGACACAGAATTCTCAAAGCAGGCTCCAGGCTCTGAGCTGTCAGCACAGAGCCCAGTGTGGGGCTCGAACTCATGAACCACGAGATTACGACGTGAACCGAAGTCAGACACTTAACCAACAGCCACATAGGCACCCAGGGGCTCAATCTTATGAACCAGGAGATCATGACCTGAGCTGAAACCAAGGGCAGATGGTCAACGGACTGAGTCACCAGGCGCCCCAAATATAGTTCTTTTTTAAAAGCATGGACAAAAATATACCAACTAAATGCAAACCAAAAATGGGAGCCACAATTTTATCGTAAGATAAAAAGGAGTTGAAGTCAAAGAAGGATATTGAATAATGTCAAGGAATACAATTCACAATCAATAAACAAAAGTTAGAAATAACTGTGAGCCACATATTATAGCAACAATTTTCACAGACCAGAAATAACAAGCAGTAAGAGAACAAACTGAAACACTATCCACAGAAGACTAACAGATTAGATGGGCACAAAATAAGGTATGATGTCGAAGACATTGACAAAATTAATAGAATACATCTGGTTGTAATACAGTTAAGACCCAAAAAGAATAAACATAGCTTCTTTTCAAGTACCTGTGGAAAACTGATCTACACCATGAAGAAAACCTTAAATTCCAAAACCTAAAAATTGTAAAAACAAATACAATTGAAATTTTAACAAAATTTAAAAAGAAAAAGCTCCTTTTCCTAGAAATTGTATTTATTTAAAAAATTTTTTTAAATGTTTGTTTATTTTTGAGACAGAGAGAGACAGATCGTGAGTGGGGGAGGGGCAGAGAGAGAGGGAGACACAGAATCTGAAACAGGTTCCAGGCTCTGAACTGTCAGCACATAGCCCGACATGGGGCTTGAACTCGTGAACCATGAGATTGTGACTTGAGCTGAAGTCAAATGTTTAACCGACTGAGCCACCCAAGTGCCCCCTCCTAGAAATTTTAAAACTCTTAAGTAATTGTGTGTCAAAAAGAAATGCTAGTCAAAATTGTGGGAACTCCAGAGGGCAACAATAAGAAAAACACATATATTAGAACACAAAGGAAAACAATAAAGTCAAAGAAAATTTGTAGTCTCAAAAAGTTATAGCACCTAGAAGAATATATAATATTTTAGGAAACTATAATTTACCAAGTCTGGCACCAATGAAGATACAAAATCTCAGCAGGCCCATTTCTATAGAATAGAGAAGGTTGTCCAATCCTTCCCTTCCCCAGAAGGTTGTCCAATCCTTGCCTTCTCTAGAAGGTTGTCCAATCCTTTCCCTTTCCCCACCCCATTAGGCATAAGACCCAAAGCTCCACTGACTTCAATCCTTAAGGACCAGGTAATCTTGGTGCTACTTAAATTAGAAGAAAAACTTCCCAACTCTTTTTGAGAATAACACACTGAAGCCTGATAAAGACTGCTTTACAAAGCAACAAAGACCAACCTTATTTATAACAATCAGTGTAAAGGTTCTAAATAAAATATTAGCAAACAAA